CCCAAGGCCCACGTGGCTGGTTTTTATACCAAACCTGGCTGCTTAACTCTGCCCTCAGGTCTCAGCAACCTTCCCTTTGGTGGTGATGGGATTTGTCTTTCCCAATGTCTTGATGGCTTTAGTCTGGAGTAGGAGTGGGGTCCACAAAGCCTGTGTGGAATTAGCTCAGGACACCCTTTCCCCCTAACAGCTCCACATCAGTCTTGGCTGCAAATAAGCAGAACATGGACACTATTTGGGTGGGAATGGCTCCTTTTTGCCTTCCTGGTTCTTCATGATAGTGTGCCTATTTAGTGTCTCTGATAATTTGTGTGGAATGAGAAATATGCTGAGTCAGAGATGTTCAGGACCTTAGTGTCAATCTTTTTGGTGTAGCCAGAGGTGTATGAGGGGATGTCGGATATGTTGGCACTTAAACTATTCCAAGTTATATTGTTCTGTGTTGTATTTCTTTTTTTTTCTTCTTCCTTTTAAAAAAAAAAAAGATTTATTTACTTCTACAAGAACTGAGGTACAAACCAGAGGCATGGGAGGGTGAGAGGATTCACCAGCGACAGAGTGGGGAGCAGAACAGGCAGATGACCAAAGACACTGCTGAGGAGAGCAGCAGGTGAGACAGGAGAGGTCTGCCACGCCATGTGGGCATTTCCCTGGCTGGCCAGGAATGGAACCTGTGCTGCAAAGGCTGCAGACAGTTTCACAGCACTGTGCTCAACCCGTTACGCCACCGGTGAGGCCCTGTGTTGTATTTCTTATTGTATCATGAAAACTACTTGATTTTTTAGTTTAGTAAACTTGGGCATTGGCCCACAAGAGTATATATGCAGGGTACAGGATATTAAATGTGGTACTGCATGACCACTTCCTTCTTGTGCTCAGGGCAGACACTACTAATCAATCACAGTATTTTTTTATAAGACAGGATTTGATTTCAGAATTCTCAATAACGTGCTTCAGCCATTACTCATTCATTCAGTCATTTATTGCACAATGTGCAGGCACTATTCTAGGTACTGAAGATTCTGCAAAGAAAAATTCCATTGCCTATTCTCATGGAGTTTATATTCTAGTTGGAGATAAAGGAAATAAGTAAACAAGATAATTTGAGATCGTGAGCTCTGTGAGGAAAATAAAACAGGGCACTGTATTGTCTAGAGAGGTCAAAAAGTAGACTGCTATCAAGATATGGCTGTTGATCTGAGACCTGACTGAGATGAGGCAAGTGGTCTTGTGAAGAATATCCAGAGAGAGAAAATGGCAAGTCAAAGGCCTTGATATTGCGAACTGTGGAGGCTTGTTCCAGGGACAAGCAGGAGGCCAGTGCAGCCGGACGCAGAGTAAAGCGTGGGAGTGTACCATAAGAGGAGGGCAAGAGTTATTGGTCTATTTTGTTAACAGCTGCCTTCCTAGTGACTAGAATAATGCTCAGCACACAAAACATATTTGTTTTATGAATAAATGAAGGCAGAGGCTCTGATACAATAAAATGATAAAATCCATTAAAGAACATACCTGCCTTTTCAGTCCACTATTTTTGTCATTTTCAATAGACATTTTTGAACAGCAAGTAGCTAAGAACGCCCTTCCTCTACTCCCCTCACCCCTGTTTTGCTTTCCTAGTCTCCTTGCTTCCACGTCTTCTTGCAAGTTTTACACTTTAAACCCCAGCTGCTGTCACATCCTCTCTGTGAAGCCTTTCCAATAAATCCAAAAGGGCATAACTTCTCCTTCCTCCACATTTCTCTGTCACAAGTGTCATTTGTTAACACTCAACACAATAAACTGGACAGCTTGTTTATTATCAGCTTTCTTTATCCCGCTTCTCCAGAACAGTACTGTTTTTGAAGGCAGCCACCATCTTCTATATTCTGAAGTCTTAAGCATCATGGTTGTTGCTGTTGGTATCAGTACTTCCCCACAGAGCCTGAATGTCTGTGACTGCTGAGCTGAGACCTCTTGAAGTTAGTGGCCTGTCTGGGCTCTGGTGAGTCAAGGGGTTTCCTTCTGCTCCCTGGGCTGGGGAGGACTCTGGGGTCTTGGGAGTTATAGGAGAAACACAGGTGAGAAGTGATTGGTTGAAGGAACATGGATGATGTTCACATTGCTGACACCTTTAGTTGAAAATCACCATGACAAAAGGACATGAAATCTTCCCTTTCTTTTCTATGCAGCAATAACTTCACCCTCACATCCAAGGCACAGCAAATGAGTTATCTCTTATTTGTAGGAGAACAAAAGCATTGAAAGAAACCTAGGTTTTTAGATGTTTGAATAAAAGACCCAAAATAAAACTTAGCAAATGAGAAATAGCAGTAGCAATTATTCATGCTTCAAGAATTCAGAACAGGGCCTCCCCGGTGGCGGCAGCCCAGTGGTTGAGCGCTGGGTTGCGAAGCTGCCCCGGGCCTCTGCAGCGCTGGTTCCATCCCCGGCTGCTCCCCGGCCACCGGAGGAGGGTCCCACATGGCGCGCAGACCTCTCCTGCAACCTGCTGCTCCCCTCAGCTGCTCCCCTCAGCAGTGTACTTCGGTCCTTCTGCCTGCTCTGCTCCCTGCTCTGGCTCTGGTGAATTCTCTCACCCTCCCGCGCTTCTGACTGTACCCAGTACATGTATAAACAAAACAAACAAACAAACAAATAAACAAATAAAACATGCCTCTATTAAAAAAAAAATTTAAAAAAAAAAGAATTCAGAACAACCGCAAACAGAACTCTGATAAATAATAAGTTCTGAAAATAGTTTAATTATCATGTAATCTCTATTTTGGGGTCAAATTAACTATTACCTGGAAACATCTCTAGTAAATGCTGAAAGATTTGATGTCCAATTTGGGCTTTATGTTCCCCTTAGAAAAAGATGAACTTCAAATGCGGAGCCTTTAGTTAACCTGGTTCTTCTTCTCGATCACTACTATAATCCCACTCCACTCCTCACCCTTTTTTTACTGTTGGTTAAATAAAAGTAGCAAGAGCTGTAACTTGGCCTGAGCAAACAGACCATACATCAATAAGTGAACAATTAGTCTAAACTATTTTCCATGAGACCTATGAAGCATTTCTAATTGAAACTTAACAAACTCAAACACAGCAAACGCTCTCATCTTCAGCTCTAGAAAGGGAATGTGATCCTGCATGCAGACATAGACCCTTTTAAATTTAGCTGGAATAGAGTGTGACTCTGCAGTTGTGGGGTTTAATTTTTTTTTAATTGCTGAAGTGTCACTGTTTGTTATTTCACATTTATTGAAAAAATGTAAATGCCAGATGTAACAGAATAGCAATATGTTTTGTTTTAGTCTGATGGCTTCATCTTACTAATCATGGTAATATATGCTGGCTGGTGTTGGGAATACTTAATAAAATACTGGAATACATTTTTGGTGCTTATATTTTAAGGCAATTAATACAAACAGCTTGATCTGCATCATTTAAACAGATTGATTTTAACTTCATACAAAACAGGGCAAGGATGGATCACTGGGTGAGGATGGAGGCACCCGTGTGAGGATCTTAGTTACTGAGCACACATTCAGTATGGCAGGACTCAGGCACACTGTACTGGAAAGGGAGGCTAAAATATTAGCAAGAGCTTACAGTTGTCTGCGCTTTCCAGGTTTAAGCCATCTTTGTGCACAGTTCCTCCCTATCCTCCACTCTGAGCTACACAAGTCCTTAAGGCATCAGTCAGACACGGCCATTTTATAGATCAGGTTCCTGAGGCTTGGAGATACTGGCCCGAGATCACCAAGGTGGAGCCCAGGCTGTTCACTCCCGACCGACATACATCAGTTATGCACAAGTCATACACATATGTAAACATTCTAATGGACACTATTCTCCAAATATGTGTCGAAGGGCTCTCTGGCAACTGGGCAGCTGTCAAAGCTCTATTTTGTTGTGGAGGGTGGGAGCAGCTGCTTGGCCCAAATCCCTCTTCCCTTTCCCTCCACAATTCAAGTGGCCTATGTGAGACCAAGGGATTTCCTGCTCCAGCGCGGCTGTGCTCAAGGTTGCACAGATAAGTTACTTGTCAGGCAAGAACCAAAAGCGAAAATGTGCGATTACCCATAAAACTGTTGCAAAAGGATCTAAAGTTGAATGTCAGTTACTTGTATTCGAAAACCTTGGTTTTTAAATTTCCTTCTTCCTTCGAAGAACAATTGTAATTTGAAGTTCACCGAGTAATCCTGCAAGATCTCATTAAAGAGCAACAGGTTTTAACTGGTTAAAATCTAACAGTAAGATGGAGAGTAAAAGTCCCCATGCAACCAATAGTTCTGCTTTGTCTTCCTCCAAAGCCTTCCTAGACCGGGGTCTGGAGGCAGGGCCACCCAGCCCTGCGAGCTTAGGGGTTGGTGTGTGCTGGAGCATGAGCATCTTACCTAGAGACCATGAGGAGTCCTCTCACAACAACTCAAAGCTCTTGACCTAGTTCTCCCCACTTTGCCCTCCCAATATGACTTCAGTTAATTCTAAATGAGCTCTAGCAAGGTCAATCTAAAGCTTTCCTTCGCCTCAGAGAGGGAGAAAAGAAAACGCGTGCTTCCAGGCACAGAGCCCTTGTCAAACTCCGTGGAAGTCGCCTGACAGCCTTCTCTCCTGGACACACAGCGGTTCCACGGACTTCACTGAGGGGTGAGGCAGGGCGGATGGGCTAGAGGAGGCGGCTTGGAGAGAACTTGCGTAGCCAAAACATCCCCTACAACTCCTGCGAGCTGCGGGAACAGGTGCCTTTTCTCCGACGTCCAGCAGTGGCGCCTGCTGCACCTTGCCCGCTGTCTTGCCCACTCGCTGGGCACCCGCTTGCCCTTTGTACCCCCGCCCCCTCCCGCTCATTCCAGGGCGGGGGCGGGGATGCTGTCTCGCAGGTAATTATTGCCAGCGGGGCCCGCAGGGGAAGCGGGGGTGGGCGCACCGGCTGGGGGCGGGAGACGCGGCGGGGCGCCGGCATAAAGGGGCGCAGGGCGGAGCGGTGCCCCATCGCCCGGCTCCCGCTCAGCATGCTGGCCCGCGCCCCTCCGCGCAGCCAGTGGCTGCCGCCGCTGTTGCCGCTACAGCTGCTGCTGGTCCTGGGAGGCCACCGCCTGCGCGCGGAGCCGGGCGACGGCGCGCAGACCTGGGTCCACTTTGCGCGCTCCCCGCCTCCTGAGGCCGCGGGTTTCCTCCACGGCACCTTCCCCGACGGGTTCTTCTGGGCCGTGGGCAGCGCAGCCTATCAGATAGAGGGCGGCTGGCGGCAGCATGGCAAGGGGGCGTCCATCTGGGACACATTCACCCGTCACCCCCTGGTGACCCCAGGCGACCCCTTAGTGGCCGGCGTGCCGTCGGGCGCCCCGTCCCCGTCCCCGCCCGCCACTGGGGAGGTAGCCAGCGACAGTTACAACAACGTCTTCCGAGACACAGAGGGGCTTCGCGAGCTCGGGGTCACCCACTACCGCTTCTCCATCTCTTGGGCGCGGGTGCTCCCCAATGGCAGCTCGGGCGCCCCCAACCGCGAGGGGCTGCGCTACTACCGGCGCCTGCTGGAGCGGCTGCGGGAGCTGGGCGTGCAGCCTGTGGTCACCCTGTACCACTGGGACCTACCCCAGCGCCTGCAGGACGCCTACGGCGGCTGGGCCAATCGCGCCCTGGCGGACCACTTCAGGGATTACGCCGAACTCTGCTTCCGCCACTTCGGGGGACAGGTCAAGTACTGGATCACCATCGACAACCCCTACGTGGTGGCCTGGCACGGCTATGCCACCGGGCGCCTGGCCCCCGGTGTCCGGGGCAGCCCGCGGCTCGGGTACCTGGTGGCGCACAACCTCCTCCTGGTGAGTTCGAGGGGCCAGGTGGAGGGACCCCGCTGGGGAGAGGGCCTCTGGGGACGCCGCCGGGGGCAAGACGGGTGCCTGAGCCTCCAACTCAGAGGAGGCCCCGCTGGAACGCGTTCCTGAGATCACCTGGGACCCACACCTGGCCCTCAGCTGCTTGGGCTCCCAGAGATAGGCATGGAGTTGGGAAAGGGAGGGAGGTCCCCGGAGGGAGCGCGCGGGTGAGTGCCCTTTGGAGCCCATTTGTCAAAAAGAAATAGGAAGCAGTTTTTCCAATGAGAAAAGGGAGTTCCTTTTCTCCGAGTGTGGAGGAATTCCTAGAGGTAAGGGCAGGGAAGATTTGCTGGTAGTAGCTAGGAGGAGAGTGAGGAGGGTGGATGAAAGAAGTTTATTCCAAAGCTGCAGGTAGGCTTACTCTGCTGGAGTTTGTTGAAATGTCAAGAGTTGAACGTTAATCCAGAAGATCTGTCTTAGTTGTGGCACATTCACATTGAAGCAAATGTGAAGGTGTCAAAATTGCATCTCCTGGAAAGCCTGGTTTAAATTGCTTGTGGAAGTTATTTCTGTGGCAGGGTAGGGAACTACATCCATCAACCTTTCTTAATCATCAGTGCTCGAAGATTCCTTATACAACCACAAACGAAGCTAGGCATAAAAACACAGAAACAACTACAGGATAGTGTAGACTGTGTCCTACCACATTTGCATTTCCACGATGCTCTTTCTCCTGTGACTAGGGCTCCTGGCTAATTAGGTTATTAATCGGACACAGTGGATTTTAACACCCTGTGCAGAATGCTTAATCAATTTAATGGCAGGAAGTGTTGACTCCCATGATAAAGTTTTCTCCCAAATAATTCTTCCTCTTTTTTCTCCTTTACTTAGTGTTCAAGATTAGATCTCATTGATTTGATGGTTCATTTATAATGATGGAAGTTGTTGCTATCTTTTGTAGAGTTTTATATCACGAAAATATTTTATGTACACGTGGAAACATTTTAATAGAAGTGTTTAAATTGATAACTCTTGATATGGTATTTTGATAACTTGTGAACTTGTGAACCTACTGGAAGGCCTATTTTTAATTTTAGAATTAGACCACATATTTTGAACAAATTCAAAACTACCTCTTTAACACATTTGCAATTGAAGCCACAGGTAATTGAGAGAGGGACAGTACTGGATTATTGAGCTGACTCAGTGTTCTGAGCTGAGGGTAATGTTAATAATGGCTAAATTAGATTGTATGTCAAGTCCACAAGACCTGTTTGCCATCACTAATCATAAGAAGTGTTTTATTTGTTTGACAAAATTGTGACTTTAGCGATTTCATATTGATGTATCACTTCATTACGCTTTAGAGCAATCTGTCCGTCCTTTAAGGGAATCAAAAGAATCTAAAGACCATTTGTTTATGTTTAGTGATAGAAAATGATGGGGAGAACTGTCCTCTCTTTTGAAGAAAACTATCAGTTCATATCAGGAACAAATAAGAAGTCCGTGCGGCAGCTGGAGGACCTACAAAATCACTAGTGTAGATTGAAATCATACAAGTTCTATTTTTAGAGAACATGTAATAAACTCAGTATGTTTACATACAAGTTACCAATCACTTAGGTGATTTTTAAAAAATAAATTAAGGAATTGGGACTCCAGGAGCCTTCTGGAACTCTTGTATCTCAAATAGTCAACTTGATTTTGATTTTTGTACTGATGAACTTTTCAGTTATAATTTTGTATTTCTGTCAAAGAAACTCACCAAACACTAACTATCCCTTCCTGAAATGGTGGACTTTGTATTCATAAGAAATTAGTGGCAGTGGACACTTGGTTTTGCTGATGATGCAAACAAAAAGCTAGTTGTAAAATATTAATTTTTGCTTTCAAATTTCTTTGGTATGGAGTTTAGTCATTCTTGTGTCTTATGAAGAAGTAAATTGCTTTTATCAGAGATGGTTTATTAAATTAATTTTTTCATGTGAGATATTTTCAATGTTCTTTTTTTGATACATGTGTTAGAAGATGGGGATAGAGAAGATGCTCTTGCTGGAAAAGATAAGACATATCCTGCAGATTTTAGTAACAGAACATTTCAGCTGGGGTTTAGATATTGCTGTTAGGGACTATTGAGCCCTCTAGGATATTAATTTGTTTTTGGGACCTGATGCTGATGAAGGATTAAAACGGCCAACACCCCTCCTCCACCTCATTCTGCATTCTGCTAATTTAAAAATGGGCCGGAGAGCTCCCCTCAGGACATTTGACCCTCCCTTTCCTGGCCCAAGCCTGTTGAGAGATTCAAGAACTTAGGTCCTATGACCTGGGGGTGAGGATGCAGGTCAAAGGAACTACAGAATGGATAGGTCAAATTAGCGTGCATGCACATGTGCATGTGCGTGTGCATGTGTGTGTCAGAGAGAGAGAGGTAGAGAAGTTGAAAGCAGGACCTTCCCACAGAGCTCTGAGTACATAAGAACTTGGGATGCTTTGTTCATCTGAATATAACCCAGAAGGAAGTCACACCTTCTCTCTCCCATTTGAAGAGGGAATGCTGTGCCTTAGTAACTCTTGAAAGTGCAACAGGGTGGTCCCCAGGAAAGGGGGAGGTTCCCTGCCCCACCCAAGGGAGGGTGGAGCTGAGCAGGAAGAGGAGAAGCTGAAGAAGAGACTGAGGAAGGAAGGAAGCAGGATGGAGCCAGGAGACCTGGAGGAGGCGCATGGAGCCTAGAGACACGTAAAGAAACTGCGCTTGTCTTTTGGTCGTGGACTGGGTGACACAGATGTGGGTGAGACCCATGGGGAGGTGACAATGGCAGCTTTTATCTTGATGTTGATTTTGCTCTTTTCCTTGTCTGGTTATTTCTGACCCTTTTCTGTTGGTCCCCACTTGAAGATGCTTTAGACTTGTGGAAGGCTTTGGGGCCTTGCTCTGGGCTGATCCCATTTGGATGGACTTTTACCCACAAGGGGACGGGTAACTTTGGGTGCTTCATTTAGAAACTAGACTCTTTGCCTTACCTGTATTGTTTCCTAGTTTTATTAAAGTTCCTTTCCATTAAAGTCTTATATGTTTTGTGCTGATGTGGCGGATGGCAGAACCCATTTAGAATAGGCAGGTTTGCAGGGTTTGGGCTGACCCTCTCCCTGTCCTATAACAGATTAAAGGAGATTCTTGATGTCTCTGGAAAAACAAATATTGAGGCCTGTAGCTGAGGGATCCAGTGGCAGTGGTGTTTCTCAGGCTTTGTTCCTCCCGTGGGTTTCTAGAGGACCAGAACCAAGTTCCAGATACATGTGGGTCTCTCTGGGAATTTTGCAATTATTTGTACAGGGAACCTGTAGGAAAAGATAACCTCTTTCACTTAATGAGGAGGGGTGAGAGATACTGTTTTGGGTATTGACGTGTAGTATAAACTTGACTGGTATTGAGTGGGCTACACAGTAACAGAGAATTGCAAAGTGGGGTATGTGGATTTAGAAAGAAATCAAAAACATGTTGCCAGTGGGGGCGATCCAGTTGGGAGCCTCACAGAGGGAAAGGAGAAGGATGGAGTAATGGTAGATGAAGGAGCCATAAGGTAAAATGGTCAGATGGAGCAGTTGCAAAGTAAAAGTTGTTAAAGTTGTCTTTGTCAATCCTTTCAAATGGGATATTCTCTTTTTGTTGGTTTATGGGAATGTTGGCAGTTTGACCCAGTCCCAGGGTCAGATCCAGTTTACAGGGGACAATAAAGTGAATTTTCCTGCAGTGGCTTTCTACTGCCCTATTTTCATATGGCTCTAGTGATATCAAATCTTTATAGCATCAGTGTTTATGTCTAAGGTGATCTGTCACAGCATTTGTTTAACCCCTATTCCTTCTGTATAGACTTTCCCAACTTGGTTTTCAGAGCCCCACTCTCTCTTGCTACTCCTCTTAGCTCACTGGTAATTCCTTCTCAGTTTCTTTTATTTATTCCTCCTCACCTTGCCTGTAAAAAGAAAATGTCCCAGGACTCTTTCTATCAGCCACTTCTCTCAATCTGCTTCAAGTGATCTCTTTGAAAACTCCAAGTTTTGAGTTTTCAGCATCTGTCCTGAGCTCCAGACTTGCGTAGACAACTGCCTTCTCCACTAACAGGTCCAATAGGCAAACTGCCTTCTCCACTAACAGGTCCAGTATGCATGCCATACTTGACCCATCTAAAAACAAACTCTTTTCCCCATCACCATAATAGCAACTCCACCTACTTCACCTACTTCAAAATATATCCAGAATCCAGCCACTCCTTATATATAGCCTCAGCCAAGGGGCTCTGCCTGGGTGATTGCAATGGCCTCCTAGCTGCTGTTCTTCTGCTGTGCCTCCTGCAGCGTGACACAATGGATCCTCTCAAGGACTCTGTGTGTGTGAATAAGAGTCCTTACTTATTAAAACCCTACATTTTTTCAAGAACCAGCTCATGTGCTCCCTGTAGCCCCACATCTGAATGCCATCTCTTCCTTCTATGGAACCCACTTGCCTCATTTCTGATGCCTTCTACCACGCCCTTCCGTTCATTTAGCCCCAAGTCTCCTGTCGCCACTCCATTAGTCTGGCAAGTCTGTAAATGAGAAGGCCACGTTCCTGTCTTCTATGTTTCCTAAAATGGCATTTTGCTCAACAAGTTGTTGCTGGTTTATTAATAGCCAGACTTTTCCTTTCTAAGCTGGTACTACTAGGTTTTGATCTGATTATCCATTTTTCTAGTTATTTTCTGTTGGAGTAGGGAGTACCAAACTCTAAGCACATAGAAAAATGGGTAAATATAACGGGGAAGAATTTGACATTTTCTGTGAAAACTTAGGGCTTGCCAAATTTATGTATGACTCCATTGTAAAAACCCCTAAACAGGAACTATGTAACATCACAAAGATGTTTCCAGAATGGGAGGTAGAGGAAGTCTTCTGCTTGGATTTAGGAGCATATATTGAAAGAAGTTTTGTTATCTGGGAACTTTCATTTCCCAAGTTTAATGGTG